AATGAATTAAGTGATTTAAAAAAAGAAGATTTTGAATAAATTAAAAAAAGCGGAAATTAATTTCGTAAAATGTAATAATATAAGAGTTTATTGACCCATATTTCCTAGCAAACTCTTCTTTAATATCTTGCATTTTTTTATTTATGAAACTTTCGGCTCTGTCCGGAATCAAATATACTAAAATTGAATAGTTATTATTTTGCACTATTGATAAAAAAATATTTTGCTACTTTCTAACTCTTGGCAAGCTTGCTGATGCATATTATCTAGAAATAGTATACCGCAACCATTGTCATCACACGAAAGATTATCAACTATATCTTTTTCAATAACTTTCCGTGCAATTTCTGTTGCGTTCTTTTCTTCAATCTGCACAGTATCTAAAAATACAACTAACTGGTCAAATTCGACGTTAATTTCCTCTATTTTTAAAAATATTTCTTTAAGCAAGTTATAAAGAAGCAATAATTTGCTAAATTCATTGTCATTGGGATTATTAATAAGAGCATTATTTTCTAACTTTCTCTCGAACATTAGACTAATTGGTGTTGTTGTTCAAAGAAAAAGAGAAACTTTTCTTAACTTGGACTCACTGAAATAAGTTGGAACATGTTGGTTTTTTTCATTAATCGCTCTTTTTATATCTGTAACAAAATTATCAATTAAATTGCCCTCAACGTTCATTTTATATTCAGTCTCAACTGAGTTTTCTGAAACTTTTTTTTCCTTTATCACTTTGTATATGTCTTCTCTTTTGATTGGAACCTTGCCCGTATTTTTTTCTTCTAAAATCATCTCCATCCTTTTATTCACGCCACTTAGGGTGATGCATTCCTTAGCCCTTTCCTTGCCATTTGGGTTTTTAACTTTTCCGTAACCAAAACATTCAGCTAATTCTATTCCTAATCTATGCTCGCTTAGAAGAATTTTATCGGAAAAATAATCTACTAGAATGTCAGGTTTTTCATGAAAAAAATTAGGTCTGGAAGTAGAGGAAGGAGGAGAAAAATACTTTACTAACGGCGAAAGAATATCAATATCAAAGTAATCCTTTAATAGAAAAACTATTGCTAGTATTCTTTTTTCGTTTTCTTTTTCCCTTTTAGCAATTATCTTTTTATTTTCTTTGCTAATCAAACTCTCATAGTTATTGGCAAGTTTTTCAATTTGCTCTTTTATTGGATTAATTTGAAGTTTGACTTTTTTTGACTCCTTGGTTAAACGGATAAGTTCCTCAGTTTCTTTTTCTAAGCCTTTACTGCCTTTAAAATGACTTAAGTCTCTTTCTTTTTCTGTTATTTTTTGCTGAAGATCTTTTCATTTTTCCCATAATTTCTGCTTTTGTTTACCTATTCCTAAATCTTCTTTTAATTTCATATTTTGCTAATGATAAATAAAATTTTACTAACCTAAGTTATTCCAACCATTAAAAATAACCAAACCGCACTTACTCCTAAATAAAAAATTAATAATATAATAAAGTAAGCACAAAATATATCTCTATATAATCTCTTTTATCCTTATGAATACTAAGAATATCTTGTAGATTTTTATTTAATCGCTACTTCTTGGTCTTGGGAATAATTTTATTATTATTATTTTTATATCATTTTTCTTTATGTTGGGTTTTTTCTTGGCTATTTTTTGCTCGCCATTCATTAATTTCTTTGTGATTTCCCGACAATAAGACCGAGGGAACTTTTAAGCCTTCAAACACCTCAGGGCGGGTGTAAGTAGCAAAATCTAATTGGGAGTTTTGGAATGTCTCCTGCTGATAAGATTCTGGTTGAATAGCACCCGGAATGGCCCGAATTAAGGCATCGGTAATCGCCAAAGCCGGTATTTCTCCGCCCATGGTAATAAAATCGCCGATTGATATTTGTTCGTCAATATAGTGTCAAATTCTTTCGTCAAATCCTTCGTAATGGCCGCAAATGAAGACTAAGTTAGGGGCCTGACTAAGCAATCGCGGCACTTCATTTTGGGTAAAAGTTTTGCCTTGGGGCGAAAGCAGGATTAAATAACTATTTGGATAAGTCTCTTGAATAGCCGCGAGAGCAGCCACCAATGGTTCAATTTTTAGGACCATGCCTGCCCCCCCTCCATAAGGATAATCGTCAACCTGTCCTTTTGCCGCAAAGTCTCGCAGATTGTAAACCTGATAAGTAAGCAGTTTTTTTTCATAAATCTTTTTGGCTAAAGAAATCTGAAAGTAGTTGTGAAAATATTGCGGGAAAAGAGTGAGATAAATAAAATTAGGTTTCATAAAAAGAAGCAGAATAAATTATTTTTTTTACTCGGGGGAGTTAGTGGGTATTAAATTGTCTAAATTTTTTTTGCTTTCATTATTTGTCTTTGCAGCAAAGTCTCGCAAATCAAATTATAAACCTGATAAGTAAAGCAATTAATATTAAAACTAATTTATGAAACACACACACACACACACACACAGCAAAATATTTAAATTGGAATTGGAAGTTTTAGGGAATAGTGATAAATTTATAAGTTATAATGGTTAATATAGAAGAAATTAAAATAAAAGCAAGTGCTGTTGCGAAACAACTAAAAGAAGGTCGAAAAAATAAATCAATTTCCCTAAAACAAGCCTATGATTTATTAGATGAAGTTATGACAGCAGGTAAAGACCTTAAAAGAGCAGAAACTAATGAAGAATTAGCAGAAGAACTTACTTGAGTTATTATTGAATATCTTTGGATAAGTAATGACTCTTGCTCTAAATGGAAGAGAAGCAAAACCCATCCCACTGAGCAAGAATTAAAGATGATTAAAAAGTTGTCTGGTCAATATTCAGACATTTTCTCCGAAGTAAAGGAACAATATCCTTCAATTATTAGCGATAAACTTTACTCAAGTTTAAAGGAAGAAACAAAATCAGTTGAGGATTTTGTCAAAGCAGAGGAGAATTATCAAAAATCTCCTTCTGATAATGGCAATGATAATAGTGGGAATGGCACGAACAACAACGGAAATTCAAATAGTAATGATAACTCCAACGGCTCAAATGGAGGAGGCAACATGCCCTTTTCCTCAAACAATTCTGAACTGGAAGAGAAGATAAAAGATTTACAAAGTCAATTAAGCACGGTCAAAAAAGAATTGAAAAAAAAGCAACAACAAAATCCTAATTCCATTGATAGCCAGCAAGAAGAGCGAAAGAAGGATGAATTAGAAAGAGAATTGGAAAGATTAAAACGAGAAAAAGAAGGGAATAGACAAAAGCCGGGAAACCAAAACCCCCAAAACAAAAAAGATAGTTTTCCCTATGGACTAGTTATTGGTGGTGGAATAGCGATTTTCTTGCTACTGATTGCGGTTATTTTTTTCTGACAAAGAAGCAAAAGAAAGTAAAGTTAGTTCATTTAAAATAAAGCATATGACTAAAAACCAAAAAGGAAAGTCCTTTAAGGAATACTTACAAGAAATTGAGGACCCAAAAAATAACAGCGAAGTAAATTATGCTTTGCCAGAAAACCCAACCCCTTTACAAGTTGCTAAATTTGAAATCTGTCAGGAAATTTTAGGTTATAAACTAGATAATGACTTAACTCGCGAACAGGTGGCAGAGAGAATAGGAATAAGTAAAGCCGAAACTGAGGATATTTTATTTTGCCATATTGAGGAATTTACTTTGGATAGATTAGTGGAGTATGCTAGCAAGTTATTAGACCCTATTCAAGTAAAAGTGATTTTAAAACCCCGCAAGTCAGTTATTCATGCCCAAACCTCTTAAATTAATTGACAAGTATTTTAGCAAAGAGGATAATGAATGGCAGTGGACTTACGAATTAAAAATTATTTTCAATAAGAACCACATAATTGCCATTACTATCACCGAACATTATCAGAAACAGCCAGGTCGGGAGGGAATTACTAACGAACTGATTTTAGAATTATTGGAGGAGTTAAATGGTTGACGGCTAGAACCGACCAAATATCGAGGCAAACGAAAGGTTTATAAATGAGAGATAAGTCAGCAGGATCAAAGATATCGTTTTTGGTTCTGATTCAAAGACGGAACTATTAACCATTTATGAATTAGAAATTGCCACCGAATAGATTAAAAAAAAGTAAAGTTTCTTGATTTAATTAAAACTTTTTAATATGAAAAAAGTACTCAGTGAAAGAAAAGGCGTTTTAAAAATTGTTTGTGATAATCTAAGGGAATATTTCGCCGAATTTGTCAAGTGTCGAAATTCACTGAGAAGCACAAATGAATGAGATGAATATTTCAATAAATTTTATGGCAAAGGAACTTTTGTTTTCAAAGAAAATGAAAGGAATAACACCATTGTCGAGTTTTTGATGAAGAATAATAAAAAACTTAAAAAACATTAAATGACCCTTCCCAACAAGCCCCGTGGTACTCAGGATATATCCCCCCCTCGTTCTCTCCTCTATCAGAAAATCCAACAAATAATTACTGAAGTACTATATAAGAACAATTACCAACCAATAATTTTTCCTACTTTTGAATCAAAAGAGTTATTCACCAGTTCTTTAGGCTACACCACTGACATTATTCATAAAGAAATGTACACTTTTACGGATAGAAAAGGTCGAGAATTAGCCTTAAGGCCAGAGGGAACCGCGAGCACTGTACGTTTAATTTGTGAAAATAAACTAATTAGAGAAGGTTATCCATTAAAGTTATATTATTGGGCTAATATGTTCCGCTATGAACGCCCTCAAAAAGGGAGATATCGTGAATTTTGACAGTTAGGGGTGGAATTGATTAATGCTCGGGGAATTGTCGCTGATTATCAAATATTAAAACTAGTCTATGATATTTTGGATGGTTTAGGGGTTAAAAACCTTACTTTTAAATTAAATTATTTAGGAAATAGTGAAACCAAAGAAAAATACAAAAAAGAATTAAAAAAATTTGTTGAAAAAAACCAACCTAATTTATGTGAGGATTGCCAAAGGAGATATGAAACTAATCCTTTAAGAATACTTGATTGTTTAATTTGTAAAAACAAAACTTCTTATCCTTCTTATAAAAACGCTTGGAATGAGGAAGATAGTAATTATATAAATGAACTTAACCAGATTTTAGATAAATTTAATTTTCCTTATCAGTATGATTACTATTTAGTGCGCGGCTTGGATTATTACACTGGCTTAGTTTTTGAGGTTGATTTAGGAACCGAAAAAGCAATTTTAGGCGGTGGACGTTATGACAAACTTTATCAAGAAATAGGAAATGTTGATTTACCAGCAATCGGCTTTGCGATAGGAATTGAAAGATTAGCAGACTATTTAGAAAAGGAAAATTTGTTAAAAGTTGACAATAGAGTTGATATTTTTTTCTTTGTTGCTGCTCCCGAGGCTTATTCAGATATTTTAGTTTGGAAGGAAGAATTAACAAAATTTTCCTTAACCATAGACTATAATTTAGAAGTTAGAAAAATAAAAACTCTTTCTAGAATCATTGACTATTATCAGCCAAAAATATTAATTATATTAGGAGAAAAAGAATTAAAAAGCAAGAAAATAGTGATAAAAGATTGTCAAAAAAGACAAGAATTTTTGGTAGAAAAAGAAAAAGTAGTAAAATGAATTATTAATTATTTACAAAAGTAAAAATGGTGCAAAAAATATCTTTCCAAAAAAGTAAAGAAACTGATGCCTTTCAAAAACTAACCGGAAAGGAATTAAACGCCAAAGGGATAAAATTAGGCTGAAAAGAAATTGACGATTGATTAGCAAACCCTCAGACAGACCACAAATTAGATTTCATTTGCCGAATAAAAGTGGTTCCTTTTGAACTTTCTTTAAATGGGGAAAAGAAAAAAGTAGAAGTAATTGATTTTTTTGTTAATTCTAACACTAATCTTTGTTTTTTTCTTGAAAATGCTTTAAAAGATAACAATAAGTTTGAATTACAATGAATTGAGGAGCATATTGGAAAAGGTATTAGTTTTTCTGAAAATCGTCCTAATACTTTGGTTGTCTATAGCAATTTTCTACGAGAGGGAGTTAATAAAGAGGAACACGAAAAAATTAGGCAAAACTCAGACATTAGAAATCTGGAAGTTAATTGAGAAAATATTAATGTTTTAGAATGAGGATTATCCTTTGATTTAATTTCTTCCCAGTCTATTTCAAATTCTAATTATAATAAAGTTTTCTTGCCATTGAACTATATTTAGAAAATCTTGAATGAATGAAAAAACGCTTAACCGAGTGAAAAGAAAATAATAAACCTGCCATTATTAAGAATGCTGTTTTAAGCACTAAAAGTTGACTTTCAGTAAAAGATAGTAACATTCTATATGTAAATGATAGCGACGAAATTATAGGAATTGCATGGCGAATGGTTAGTTGAGATTGTTTTCGAGAGACAAATTAATGGCTGAGAAAAATTGCCTTATCGAGAAAAGGCAAAATTCCTAAAGAGACATAAGAAAGAAAAAGTTAAGGACATGAAAAACGAAATTGAAGCCGCCATTAGAGCCTTAGAAAATGGCGATAATAAACCTGATAATATTTCGCCACCTTCCCCAAATCCTAATCAAAATAATCCTGCTAAAACTAATTCTCCTAGCCAAATCCTCTGAAAATTAATTATTCCGGTTTCACTTTTTCTTTTAATTGTAGTTGTGATTGGAACAATTATATTGCTCAAAAAAAAAAAAAAAACAGAAATTAATCTTTAATTTCAATTTGGTTCCTGTTTTCAATTCCAAACTTTACTCCTACCTGCTAAATTAAACATTAAATTCACATTAACTTAAAAATATTTCTCTAAACAAGATATTCTTAGTATTCATAAGGATAAAAGAAATTATTATAAAGTTATATTGTGCTCAATTTTTAGTTATTATATTATTAATTTTAAAAAAAGAATTAGCAAAGAATCTTTTTATAAAGATTAAAATTTTTCACTCGTTTAGGGGGTTAATTACAAGTTTTTTTTAATGGTTCGTGATTTACTTAGTATTGGTATACTAGTAACAACAGAGGTGGGACTAATTCTATAAGTGGTAGTTTTAGAAAAGAGGTTATACTCTTCCTTTATTTTCTGATATTGTTGGTAAAATGGGGTATCTTTTTTGTTATGAATTTCACTTTCCCAATCACTTAAAGTCTTATACAGTTCTTGAGAACTTGGCCTTTTAGCGGGATCCGCATCTCAACATTTTTTAATTAATTCTTTTAATAATTGGATCATTGGAATTTCATCTACATTAGGTCTTAGTTCCTCATTTACTACTTTATTAAAAAAGACTTTGCAAATTAGTATGTTATTAAAATCGTAATCAAGGTAAGGATAAGCATTAGCGAATAATTCATACATAACTATCCCAAAAGAGTAAATATCGCTGGCTTGGGTATAAGGTTGACCTCGTAAAACTTCCGGAGCTATATAGGGGGGGAACGCCAAAGATTTTACCATTTTCTTTTTGGAAATTAATTGGTCTGCATAGACCTACATCAGTAATAAAACTTCTATCAAAACCATCCCCGTCCCCGTCCCCGTATTTGTCATTTAATATATTTCCTGGATGCAAATCTCGATGAACTAAGTTTTGATTAAAAATAAAACTTAATCCCATGGCGACATTGTATAATTTTCCAAGTTTAATCTCTAAGTTTAATTTTTTACTATTTTTCTGTAAATATTCTCGGAGATTGCCACCTTTTATATGATCCATTACCATTACATAACTCTTAGTAATTGGGTCTTGAGAAATACCTCAGCACTTAACAGTATAGGGAGAAGTGTTGTAATCATTAGCCAAAATATTATTAGTCACCTCAATTAGAAATTCCAGGGTGATATTCTGAGAACCATGAAGAAATTTGAGGACAACATCATTATATGGATTATAGTGGAGAAGCCGCACTTTCCATTTAGCCTTATATACTTTACCAAAACCACCCTTGCCTAAAACTTTGTTATTACCATATTCATCTTTTTCAATTTCAAATAACCCGTAAGGTATCTGCTGTAGTCTGTAATCGCCGTATGCATCTTTACCTAAATTTTGAATTAATTTTTCTACTACTTCTTGTTCCGGTAAATTTTTAAGATCTTGTTCTCATTCTTTCTCAGCACAGGGTTGACATCACTTTCTGCTGGTATTAGGTTGATGACATTTTTGGCAAAAGGCATATTTAACTTTATCTAATTCAGGAATAATTTTGGTTAGTTTACAATCTTTTCTTAAAGCACTATAATTAATTTCTTCTAAACTCCTAGGCAACTTATCAAGATTAACTTCATCAAAATCATTATCAATAATTTCAAGTATTTTTAAATTTTTCATATTGCTTAAAAAATCCAAGGAGCCTGTTAATCTATTACATCCTCCTAAATATAACTCTTTTAAATTAATAGGATTGGAAGGAAAAGTAATTTTGGTTAATAAGTTATCTCAAAGATTTAATTTTTCTAAGTTAATAAATTCAGAGAGATCAAGTTCTCCTCATAGTCCACTAATGTTTAACTCAGTTATTTGTTCTCTTTTTTCTTTAGGGTATTTTTGATCCAACCATCTTTGAGCATTTGCCATAGCATTTTATAACTTAATTTACTATTTTTCTGAACAATTATTTTCTCACTACTTTACTTTTCCTAGATTTAAATTATTGGTTTTGCTCAGAGTAGACTCTTTAACTTTTAGTGATTAAGTAGAAGTATGCAGATTTTTTTACTTACTCAAAGTGCAATTAATATTATTCCTCCTACCCCACCACACCAAGCAATTTTTTCTCAGGGTATATCACCGCCAGAACTTATTTTTTCAGAAACATCATTTTTAGTAGGGTCATTAACTCTCTCTTTTAGATTAACAAACCATTTTTGCTCTTTCCCTAATTCTGATTTTAGTTCTTTTCGATTCTCGTTAAGTAATTCGATAGTTTTTTTCATTTCTTCAACTGATAGGTAAGTTTTGTCTTTTCAAATGTTAGTAGTGACGTCATAAACTTTATGATCAGTAAAGAATAACTCAAACTTTTCACCTTCTAGCCTATCTTCAAGTTTTAGTGCCTTAATAATTCCAAAAGTCAACGAGTTGAAAGCATTTCCGCTGGCACTAATTAATTTGCCTTTTTCTTCAATTTTAGCATGCTTACCAATATTAACTGAAGTTTCTAATTCATTACAAATTTTTCGCAGATTCTCAATGGTTATTTGCCGGGTATTGAGGAAAATTTCTTTTGTTTCTAAATATTCTTTGAATTTGGTGATAATTTCTTTTTCTTTATTCATAGATGTTTAAGTTTTTTAATCGCTTCCCTTAGAAGAAACTTCAACCCGCGCTTCCAACTCTCTTTCTTCTTTCTCTAAATCGTTTATTCCTAATTCTAACAATTTTTTCTCAATTTCATTTTTTATTTCACTCTCAGCAATGCCTTGCCGATGCTTACTGGTTGCTCGCTGTAAAATTCCTAACAAGCACTTAACCTCTTTTTGTTTACTTCTTCTTTCTTCTCACTCTTCTCCTCATTTTTGTCAGTTTTCTAGTAAGTGCCTTTTGCTGCTGAATAATCTACCCAGTCTTTGTTTAATTCCAGAAGACTCACTTGGACCATCGGTTAATAAAGCAATTTCTTTTAGGTTGCCATTGTCATTTGTTTTTAGCAACTCTTGGAGTTTATCTTTTAGAGACTTAATTACTTCACTTAATTTTCCCCAAGAACTAGAAATGTCAATAGGTTCTAGTATTTCGGCTAATTCTTGATAGTTATCTTGCAAGTTTTCCGTGTCATTAAGCAATTTGTCTCATTTTTTCTTTCGCTCTTCGGGTTTGAATAGTTTTTCCTTGCCGTAAGAGGCTAAAAAGTCGACGTAAAGAGAGGCTACCGCAATAGTTCCTCCTATTTTTTTATAAGTGGTGTTTTCATGAGCCTCACCAACTAAATAAGTGCTTGCACCCGCTGCGGAAACTGCTCGATTTAGGTATTGCAAAATAGTGTAGAAGTCTTCAATAATTGATAAGTCTACTAGTTCGATTACTTTATCTTTGGTTCATTTGGAGTGGTAACTGGTGATGTTACGGTGGATGGAGTAGAGTCTGTCGAAAGGGAGAGAATGAGATAGTTGGCTTAGGGGCATGTTATTTTTGAGTTTCAATTTGACCTATATACTGTTCTTGTTGATTATTGTCATTAATTTCCTCCTCTGATTGAACATTTTTCCGATTACTATTACTTCCTGATGATTCTGCTTGAACTTCTGAATAATTATTCGCTTCTAATACCCCTTTTTCTATCAAATCATCTTCCATTTCTTTAAACAGTTGGTTATTTTCCTGTATTGCCTGCAATAGATAGTCGGCATCAGTTGTTGTACTCCTAGCTTGCCGAGACATTCCTAAACCATAAACGCACATAGTAGCAAAATGTTCACAGTTGTTTCCCAACAACTCGTATTCACCTTTGCCGTATTTAGCATTGACCGCTATCTCAATATGTTTTTTTGTTAATTCTGGTCTTTTAAAAGGAATAAAAGGATGATGAATTTCTATTTCTTTTTCGTTTTTTAAAAAATCCTCTCAACTATCTTTGCACGCATGAAAACCACTAGTTTTACCCATTCTTTCTTTACCAGAAATGTGAACTACTTCTGGTGTCTCTTCTTCATTTTTACCTAAATAAATGGCAAAATGGTGAGAAAAACCAAACCAATCAATTTTCCTTTTAACTATGTCGTATTTTCTGATATAATCATCGGGGTCAAATTCATTAGATATTTTTACCTTTCTTTTTACTACATTTTTGTAATTTTGATTTAGTGATGGTAATTCAGCAGTGTGAATGTTATTATGTATTTTTGCACCTGGATATTCACTTTTTTCTAGTGTACTCTTAAAATTTTCTATTGTCTTTTCTCACTCATCTTCAATTGGTGTTACTTTTTTAATTTTCACCAACTTAATATCTGACTCGATTTTTCCAAAATCTGGTTCGCAAACAGCGACCCATAGATAGTAGTTATCTCTTCCTACTAAACTCTTCTTTTTACTAATAACCATTGCACAATTATCATTAAACCAAGTGCTAAAAAGACGAGAAATTTTTTTTGAGTCTTCTTCGTTTTTTTCTATCAGTGATTCTATTAGTTCTTTTACTCGTTTATGATCTTCTTTTCTTATTTTTTGGCGAATTATATATCAACAAGTTACTCCTCCTGCAGAAGAAGCTCCTAAAGCACCCAATGAGATAGCAATTACTTCAATATTGAACGCATGAGGAGGAGGACTAGAACTAGGAGAAGAGGTTGAATCACTAGTAGCAATAGTAGAGTAAACTATAGTTGTACTGGGATTGCTGCCGCTAATGTTCCAAGCAGGATTAGAAGCTGGTCATTGTAAGAAACAATCAGCACTAACGATACTGTAAGCACTAGAAGAAGCATAACCATAACATGTTCAGCCATCATTATCTCAAAAGCATCCGCTCAAACCTAAGCAGACATTAATGTTTGTATTTAGACATTGTCAATAAGTATATCCAAAACTTCCAAAGAGTGAACTCGTATTAAAATTTTTTTCTAAGTATTCAACTGTTTCGTTAAGGTCTTTTTGACAATTGCCCAAAGTTGTGTTGCTAGTTATCAATGTATTGCCTACAATTCCTGCACATCAATTGGGGTAATTGTTATTATTTTGACAAAATATTGATTGATTAATTTTGTTGCAGAAAAACTGACTAGTATAACTACATCCTGATGTGAGTGGAACAGAAGAGCATTGAGAACTATCGCAACAAATATATAACAACAACCCATTATTGATATTACTATTATTATCAAAAGGGAAGTTAAGCAAAAATTCATAGGAAGTAGTATCATCAATATTGGTGAGACAGTTGTTAAAGTTTCGACCAGCTTTTGCTCCTTGTTCTTTAAGGAAGGAATACAAGAGTAAAACCAACACTTTTTTCTGAGTTGAGATGGAAAGAAGACGAATCTGCATAATTAATTTAGAATTCTATAATAATTTTAAACATTTTAATCTGTTAAAGGAACCTCAATTTGATTTAATAATTCTTGTTCTTGTATTGATTCACCTTGAGTTTTATTAACTGTTTCCTCTATGAAAGTGTTTTCGACAAAAGAAAGGGTACTGTTTTTTTCTCTTCAAATAATAAATAAAAAAACTAAAAAAACAGTACCTACTATAGTTGACGCTGGGATAATTATTTTATTTAAGTCAAGGTTATTATTAGAGGAAGAGGTGCCAAGGGGGGGATTAGAAGTGGGTGTTGGGTTGTTACTGCTAAAGGTTGGAAAATTATTGGTGATGGTAAAAGTTTGACTAGAGGAATGAGAATTTGGAAAAGGAGCCATTCATTGTAAGACACATCCTGTCCAACTAAAACTTCCATCAGGGAAATTATTATTGTAACATGTTCAGCCTCCGTCATCCCAAAAACAACCTATTACTTCTGAGCAAATATTGTCATACTGAGGACCATCTCAACCCTTGTTTAAGCATGGCGAGTAAGCGTATCCTGGAATTGGTGTTGGTATATTAACAGTTTTTAAATAATTATCTGCCGCATCTATATTGTACTTGCAGAATCCTGAAATAGTGTTATTAGAAATAGGAGAACTTCCAATAACTCCCTTGCATCCAGCATCACAAAATATTTTTTGTGTTTGTGAAATCTTATTACAAAAAAATTCATTGTAATTACATTTTTTTCCTTCTACTAATTGGAAAGGTACAGAAAAACAGTTGATTCCTTTGCAACAAACAGCTGTGTTCCATATTGCTGTATTGTTTTTGACATATCCTTCATCATTAGTTGTACTCCATATTTTTGAGTCACTGTTAGCAAAAAAATCGACTAATCCTTCATAGGAAGTAGTATCATTTTGTAAAATAGCAAGACAATTTTTAAAACCTTGGCCAGCATTTGTTCCATTAGCTTTTAAAAAAGTAAGCAAAAACAAAGTCGATATTCTTTTTTTTGTTCAAAGCGAAGGTAAATTTAGTTTCATAGTTTTTAATATTTCTTTATTTTCTGACGATTTCTCGCCAAAACAACAATAATCAGAAGTAAGACAAATAAACTAGTTATTCCAATTCCTCAGCAAAGAACAGTCCTATTCCCTTCATTTGCCTTACCAGTAGAGTTATTTTGTTTTCTCAATAATTCTTCTAACTTTTGTAATTTCTTTCTTTTGGCCTCTAATTCCGCTTGCTGTTCAGCAGTTTTATTAGGATTACTTTCTAAATTAGTGATTTCAGTTTGTAGTTGTTGGTGTTCAGTAAGATTTTGTTGTCTCTCCATGGAATTGGTGTTAGAATTACTCGCGGGATCATCAGTAGAATTATCTATATCTGAGTTATCCAAGTCGCCCTCATCCTTTACCGCTTCCTCCATTCTCTCTACTAAATCATTCATCTCTTTGTCCAACCTTTTACAACTTTCTTCTCACTCTTTATCTTTTTTCTTCTCTTCTGTTTCCTCCTTTAATTTTTCTTGATGACATTTAGAACATAAAGTTCCAGTTTTATTTATTCCATCGCTATAATAAGTCTGAGCATAACCAGTAACTTTGTTTTGATAACTACTAACGCATTTTTCTAAACAACTATCGCAGGTTTCAGCATAATGGGTGTAAAAGCAATTATCAGAGCAGAACTTTTGACCATCTTTTTGCTTTTTATTGTATTTATATTTTCCTTTTCTAATTTCTCCACATTCAGCACAAGTAAATTGTTTCTGTTTTTTGGAATGAGTATCAGTTTTTTTATTATTTTTGCTTAGTCTATTTTTATTTTTTTTCTCTTGATTGAGTTTTTTTGACACCTCACCATCTAAATCCTCTAATTCTTTAAACAATTTTTCGTATTCATCTAGATAACTAACATAACCGACAATTGAATCTGGTCTTGCTCGTTTTAAATTACCTAACTTTTCCTCAACACCAAAATTAGCCTTAGCACAAGTAATTTCTGTATTTTGTTCTTTTAAATCGCTAATTCCTTTTATTTCTATTAACTTTTCTTTAAGTTCTTTAGTATAACTTTCGAGAAGTTCTTTTCATGCTAGTTCATTCATGATTTTATTATTATATTTATACTATAATTTTATACAATTTTCAACATTGAACTAACTATAAAAAGCTATTAGACAAAATTGCTACTGACATAACTTCCTAGTATTTTCCTTTTCTTTAAATCCTTAATAGTTGATAAATAGTCATGCTTTTCTTCTAAGTAAAATTTCCGTAAGCAAGTATTACAAATTTTTTTGCCTTTATCTCCTTTGTTGGTTTTTGTAATTCCGCCACAATTACTCTTTTTCAGCGACTTGGTTTTCAAGAAAGGCGAATTTGGCGTAAGAATTTAGTTAAGTAGTGGTTGGCTAAGATAAAATTGCTGGCTTGGTCTTGGGGAATCTTAGAGATAAGGACTTTTAAGGGTTCCGCTTGGTTATCAAAGTTTTGGGCTCAGTCTTTGAGTCAAGAGCCTTTGTTGGCGATAGGAGTTCAGCAAGAGTCTGCTGGGTTTCAGTTAGTCGTAAAAGTGGAATAATTGTCGTGTTTAGTGTTAAAAGTGAGCGCGAGAAAGAGAATGGGTTGGTCGGCGGCGGTGCCTTCGAAGTTGGCTTCGACTTTGTCTTTGAAGCGGGTGTATAACTTTTTTTCTTTGGAGTTAAAGAATTGGAAGTAAGTGCAGTTTTGGGCGTCGTGGAGGCAGTCGTCCGGTAGTTTAGTTGGGTTAGATAAGGCAGTAGCAGACTTTGTTGGTTCTTTGCCTAAGTAAAAAGAACGGGTTAGATAAGGTAACGCTTATTCTATCAGTGGACTCGATATGTTTAGTAGAAACTGAAAGAACGCTAAAGGAAGTGTGGTCTTGGGTTAAAAAATGTTTGAGGTCGGACTTGCTTACTCGCTTTATTTCTGAGAGGTCATTCAATAATTTTTTAGGAGAATTATAACCTGTTGTTATGTTGCCAATAAGCAACAACTTTCCCAATTTTCTCTGCTTTTGCCTATATTAAACATAAGCAAAATGACAGAAACAATAAAAGAAACTTTAACTAGTAAAAATAATGGAGTTTTCATTGCTTCCTCCGTTGAAAAGCAATTAATAAAAATCCAAGGAACTTTAACCTCTCAAGTTCAATTAAGAGGTGAAGAAACTAAGGAACCTTATTACTATTCATTTATTAGATTAAAAGGACAATCAGTTGATTTACCAGTTATTTTTAAGATTGAAGATGACCAACTAAACAAACCAGAACTGAAAAAGAATGATAGTGTTGAATTATCTGGCAATTATTCTAATTCTCCTAATAGTATTAGAAAGAGTTTTACGGCTTACTCTTACCAACTCTTCAACGAAAAAAGAATTCGTAAAAAATGCATCGGCTGTGGCGATACTTTTAACTGTTCCCAATCTAAAAACTATGATTACTGTAAAAACTGCGAACTAAATGGTAGTCGTTATGTCAATAAAGAAAGCAAGCGTCCCGAATGTGATGGCAGTGGCCTAATCAAATTCCCCAATCAACCACCCCATTCTTGTAAACTTTGCTACTTAACTCAACCAAAAGAGGAGAAAAATATTTTTTCTAAATAACATGACTAAGGCTCGTAACGAATACATTTATCAACTAATTGGTAAAATCAATAGCAAAAACAGAAGGGTTGGCAAGAAAGAATATCAAGGAACTTATTATTATCAACTAAATATCACCTGTGAAAATAAACCCAAAGTAGAGAAAATAATGGCCTTCCCACTGGCCTTAGAAAATAAAGCAGTCTGAGAAAAAATTGAAAACACTGACTATTTAGATAAAAAATACACCTTTTTTTGTAAGAATTACCGCGGGAGTTATCGGTTAATTAACTGAGAAGAATTTACTAACCATGTCCAACAAACTTAACACCATTGAGAAAAAACTCAAATTCCATTGCTCTACTTGTCAAACTACTTGACAATTATTAGTCATTAGAACTGATAACCTAACTAATTCAGACACTAAATGCTTAAACAACTGCTCTCAAAAATGAGAAAGATTACTAATTACTTACTGCCAAGAACGACAAATTATTTATTTTGCTAATAGAGAGCAAGAGAAGGATGAAAAAAAAGAAAAAGATTTAGAACGCTGAATAAACCAACTAAAAAAAGAAAATCACCACAAATAATATGCCAAAATCCAAGAAATTGCATCAAAAAATAGAAAGTAAATTAGAAATTTTACAGAAAATCCTCAACAAAATTAACGAAGCCCAAGTCATTGATTCAGATGACCCTGAAACCTGAGACAGCGATACTCTTTATGGATTGGTGGAAAACCTGAAAGAAGCCTTACAACTCTTAGAAGACCAAAAGGGTAAGGAACTGGATGACTTCGGGGAACCAATTATTTTAGAAGAAGGAATTTGCTCTTTGGTCGACAATTATCACTCCGAGAACGAAGAAGAATAAAGCCATGGTAATCCTCATAATATTTACCCTTTTAATAGGTATAATTCTTGGTTTGCTCTTGGCCTTCTTATCCCTTTGACTAATCAAAATCAACTGTCCCAAATGTAAACAACCTAAGCCACTTAAAGAGATAATCCTTTTTCGCTGAAAAGAAAGAGCCATCACTGGAAAACCTTGCCCGCAATGCTCTCGACCTAAACCCCAAATAGATATCGAATTATAAAACAATATGGAACTCCAAGAATATACTAACTATCTAAAAGCCAGAAACTTAGCTCCGGAAACTATTCGCACCTATTTATGAGGGCTAAATAAATATGGTCAGCAAGAAATCAATACCTCCCAAATCAGTGATTTTATTCGCAGAAGTTTAACCAAATATCAAACTTGAAGTATACGCAACCAACGGAATGCTCTCCACTCTTATGCCAAGTTTAAGAAATTACAGGTTGATTGGGAAATAATTGCCCGAGTAATTCCTAAAATTCAGAATAAGTTTTATGCTACCATTAGTGTAGAGGAATTAGAGCAATTAAAAAACATCTCTTGAAAGGCCAATGGAAGTATAAAAGACAGCCAAAGAATTAGTGAAAGAAATAATTTAATGTTAGATTTTTTATTCTATACTGGCCTGAGAGTAAAAGAATTAGTGAATATTAGACACAGTGATTATCAGCAGGAACAATTAAGAATTTTAGGCAAGGGGAATAAGGTCAGGTATATTCCTTTACCTCCTTTTTTAGCCCAATATCTTCAACCCTGCTCTAATGCTTATCTCTTTTTAACTAGAAGAGGTAACAAATTAAAAGAAACCCAAATTAGGACAATTATTAATCGGAAAGCTGAAAGAACTGGAATTAAGAAAAGAATAACCCCACATACTTTTAGAAGGTCCTTTGCCACTTTATTAGATAGAAAAAAAGTGAGAATGACTACTATTCAGAAATTATTAGGGCATAGTCATATTACCACTACGGCTCAGTATATTCATAATGATTTTGAAACTATTTTTGCGGATTATAGTAAGTTGTGAATGACGGAAAACCCTGAATCCCCGAGCCTTAACAGTTTAAATGAAAAACCAACTGAACTAACTCAATTTTAAACTTTTATGAATAAAGAAAATCAAGAAAAAGCAATATTTAATTGCCAAGAATGTAATGCTCCAATAAAAATGTCTTTGCCAAGAGAAAAAGGAGGTTTGAAAGTTTTAGAATTCTATGGTAAATGAACAGGAAAAGGACATGCTCTCGTTTGCCAAAAGTGTCTAGAAAAGAAATAAAATCATGAAATTTAAATACGACTACTTAACTAACCGTCTTTGACGAATAAAAGATGCCGAACCAGACCGATTATATGAAATCCCCGAAGAGAATAGATTTAATGCTAACTTTGGCGGAGAAGGCTTTATCTTAGGTGAAAACTCTTGAATTACCTTTGCGGTTTATGAGACCAAAATTAAAGTTTTTGCGAAGTTAGCCAATAATGGCGAAATTACTTATTACCGCCAAGACTTTTCTTTAATTCCTTTGAATAAATTGCCGTTAGTAGTTCCTAATTTTGCCCGAGAAATTAAGTTTGAATTCACGGAAAAGAATATTGTCATCAAAAATGACCAAGGAAATTGAGTAAAAAGAGAAAGTGGATAAAGGCTGCTTCGCCAATTATTTCCTGATTAGGGTCAGTGTTTTTTGTAGTTTTAGATAATTTTCCAACGCTGGCTCTAATGGGGGAGTAATTTTTTTTACAGGAGTTTTATTTCCCCTATCCTAATAAACAAGTTAAAAAAAAACTAGGTAATCAATCCTGGATGGAAAGACCTTCCACTGCTATTCTACTTTAAAAAGATAAGGCAGAGCGGATGCTAGAATCCGGTAAGTTGGAAAACTGAATCATGGTCTAGCCTAGTGAGAACTCCCCTCATTAAAAATAAATCGGAGCTAATGGAGGCTTGGTGGTCAGTTAACCAAGAAAAATAACTAACTTTTTTTATGTCCCAAGGACTTTTTTTTTTTCTTTATTTATATGACATATTTTTACCTCCATAGAAAAGATTACTAATATTCTATCTTCTCTCTCGCTAAGGCGATAATAGAATAGGACGGAAGTGATATACCAGCCAACCAAATAAGAAAATGAATAATAAACTAACTACCACCGAAACTAAATATTTAAAAATGTTTGATAGACGGGACATCCGTATTAGAATAGCCCGCGAAGTCAAAAATAAAAGCAAATATCCCTTAATTGAAAACTGAACTACTTATTATTCAGAACCTTGAACTATCAGTCAAATGTTAGAAAAAGGATTTAATTATGGAATCAGAACTGGCCGACCTATTGGCAATTATTTTAATGTCGTGATTGACTTAGATGACTCATGAGCCAAAGAAAGAATAAAGACCGTTCATTATGTTGAAACTAACAAAGGAATTCATCGCTACTTACTTATTAAAGAACTCCCTAAATCTTGCTGATTAGTAAACAAGAATGGTCAACACATTGGGGAAATTCATAGCAAAGGTAGATTTGTGGTCGGAATAGGCTCTATTCACGAAAAAGGAACTCGGTATAGTTTAAGAGGAAAGGTTAATGAGAAATGAGTTTTAAAATTCGAAAAACTAACTGAACTTCAATCATTTTTAAAAGAAAGAAATATTTTTACTACTCCCTGAGGCAAAATAGGAAAAGAAAATATTAGAGACTTAGAACTTTATCAGGCAAAAAAGAAGTCTTAAATTCTCCTGACAAAAGTGCTAGTTTTGTCGGTAGCTCATTTAGAAAACTAATAATCCCCTAACCAAAATAATCTAAAAAGTAAGAAGTAATTAGGGAAATGTTAAAAGTAAAATTAATTAAATGGCAAAAAGTAAAAAATCTTTAACTGTTCTTCCCACTAACCAACTTTTACAGCAAGTTTGGGATTATATTCTTAACCGACCAATCAAGAGAGGTGAATTTAAGAAATCAGAACACGAATGTCTTTTTCTTTTGTGCTGAAAAATTGGTTTACGGGTATCTGAGGCAATTGGATTTGATTTAAGTTTAGAACATCAACAATCAGAATATAAAAATCTTTACTTACTCCGTGGTAAAAGGGATAAAGAAAGATGAGTTTTTGTCTCTGCCGAAATAGTCAAAGAACTTAAAAAAAGAAACTGACAACCTAACCAAACTAACCGAATAAGTTTTTTTGATTTTCTACAAGTGATTAAAAAAGAAATGAACTTACCAATTAATGTGGAGTTATCCCCTCATACTCTAAGAAGATGATTTGCTACTTATCAGGCTATTTCTGGTATGCCTTTACCAGTCTTACAGAAAGTGCTAGGGCATAGCAAAATTAGCACGACAGCCTTGTATATCCGAGATGGTGATTTAAGTAATTTGGTGAAATTTAGACCAGTTTAACCAAGAAACTCAACTAAAAATAAATAATATGGTAACTAAAACTTTAATCACTGGCAAAAAGCAACTCACTGAAAGAATAGCCAAAAAAACCAAAACTCCCCAAAATCAAGTATCTCGCATAATTGATGAACTGCTGGAAGAAACCAAAAAAGCCTTAGTTAAAGGTGAAGAAGTCCGTTTACTCGGCTATTTTACTCTCAAAACTACTATCACTAAGCCTAGAATGGCCATGAATTTACAAACCAAAAAGAAAATGAAAGTACCCGCTAAAAGAGTGCCAAAGTGTAAATTCTCTGCTGGCTTAAAAGAAGCAATTAGTCAAAAAAAATAATGAACTTAACCCGCGCTATTAAATCTACCATTAGCCAAAGAAAAGAACTCTTGGATAGAAATCGCAATAATTACTTAATCTTAGAACTAGACAATGGAGAGTCCGTTTTTGTCTTTTCGGGTAAAGTCAACCCTGAAAAATGACCTTGACTAAAAGAAGGTCAAGAAATAAACTTTACGGTAGAAGAAGGCAAGAATGGAGCGAATGTCTTAGTGGACTATGTGATTGAGGTTTAAAAATAAGTTAATATGAACCAAATCAATTTAACTAACCATGAACTAATCCAAGAATTAGAAAAACGGGTTCAAAACGGCACTTTGAAAGTGCAAATTACGCCTGAACAATTTGAAAAAAGAACTGAATCCTTATTCTCCTATCTAGATAGTAAAAACTTGTTATTGTTAGTTGGTTTGACAGTGGGTCTTACTTTCCTAGTCTGTTATAGCCTAAAAATAACTACTAGTTCACCTACTAAGGGTAGTTTGGAATTCTCAGATCAAGAAAGTAAAATAACTTAATATCATGGTAGCTAAGACAGTTAAATTAAAGAATTTGAATATTAAACCATTAACAATTGCTAAGTATTTTTGAAGTAAAGGGGTAGAAATTTTTCCAATTAACCAACAATTAATCTATTTCACTTACTTAGAAGCAATGAAAGAAGGTTATTTGCTCTTTGAAGAAGAATGACAAGCTTGACCGAACGGTCCCGCAGTCGAGTCAGCGTTTGACAAAATGTTTGACAATCGTCATAATCTTACTAAACTTTTTGCCAAAGTAGAAGATTTAGATAATGAGTTAGTTCTTAATTGTGCTGGCAAGGTTTTCAAAAAACACCACAACACTGAACCTTATATCCTTTTCGAAAAAGCTCAAAATAAACCCTGAAAGGACGCTCGCAAACCTCTTAAATCAGAAAGAGAAACTACTAATATTGAACTAACTAGTTTAATTAAATTTACTAACGGTAATGGCAAAAGAGTTAGAGCAATTTAAAGATGATTATTGTTTTTGATAAATTACTACTAGACTGTATTCACGACCCAGATTTACATAATCGCCTGAGGGAAAATAAACTGAGAGGAATATTAAGCATTCTGTTAAAAAAACTTAGTGAATTCAATGATTTAACCTTTAAAGAAATTAATCAAAACCGTAATTGTCATTTCCTCAATTATAGAACTCAGTTAAAAATTATTGACTTCTTTGACAAGTATGCTAAAAAGAAAGAGGTTAAATTACTTATTTCTTATGCTGAACTTTACCAGATTTCTATCCCTAACACCGAAATTAGACTAATTGGTGCTTTACAACCTAAATATTTCTATTCACGAGAAAAAGCTTATAACGATTTATTCTCAGTTCTCTTCATTGATTTTGACCATTCTTTACATAAAAATGTTGGTAAATTAAAGAATAAAAAGTCAGAATTAATCTGTATCATGAAAGAAAGAGATTGTTCTCTTTACTAAAACCCCATTTTCTAAAAAATTTTTCTTGATCCTTCAACCATTTTTTTCTAAATTCCTAAAAAAATTAGGTTAGTTTTTTTTGATATACCAAGTGATATACCATTTAGTATACCACTCAACTTCTTTCATACCTTTCTAAATAAACTACTAAAACAAAATTATATCCTTGCTATTTCCTAGTAAAGAATTCCCAATTTCAGAAAAAATATTGAAGGCTCTCCTTAGAAATCTAAGCAACCTTCCAGTTCTCCTTTTTTTAAGCAACTGAAAATAAATATTTGTTCTGAACTTTTAGCCTAGTATTAGAAAAATAATTAAAAAAGTATAAAAAATTATGAATCTCAAAGAAAATAAAATGACTTACTTGGCTTTTGGTATCGTGGCTGGGTTAGTGGTGGCTTATGCTTACCAAAACTGAATTAAAAAAGAATAGACCATGCTAAAAAAACCAGTTAAGAAAATCCCCGTTAAGCAATCAGGACTTAAACAGGCTTACGAATTAGTAGCCAAAGACTTATTCTCTTCCTTAAAAAGAGCCAAAGACGGAACAGTTATCAAGTTTGGCAATTGTGGAACTTTTGCAAAAAAGATCGCCCGAGTTACCAATCCTTATGGAGACACTTACCGTTATTATCGGATTAGTTTCAAGGTCTCTAACCAACTAAAAAAAGAGTTAGACTAATGGATAAAAAAGTATTACTCTTAGTAGTAGCCGCTGCTTGTGTTGGTCTCTATTTTTACGGACAGCACCTAAAAAAAGACAATGAGTATTTAAAATACTTACCGCTAATTGGTGGAGGTGCCTATGCCCTAAATTTTGTGGTTAATTTAGCCGCTCAATAACTCACTATGAATAACAATTATCAACACGAACAACTAAATAACCAAGAACAAACTAAACCAGAATCCTCTGGACTAATAAAAATGGTGGGACAATCCTTACCCTTTTTACCTTTGCTCTTTGAACAGTTTACCGGACAAAAAGTCCCTCAAATTACGGGAACTATGGCCGAGATCCAAATGGCTTTACAACAAGTAATGGCTAGTCAACAAGCCATTATGCAAAGATTAACCGCCTTAGAGAATAATGCTACTAACCAGTTTACTAACTTAGTCCAACAAGTCCAAAGCATTAAGTCTGTTCGTTTAACGCACCAAAAAGAAACCAAAGCCATTGATTATAACTTAAACCAAGAAAACCAAATTAATTAACTATGTCCTTCTTCCCTGATATTACTCCCTTAACTAATGAAGTTAAAAAATTCAATGCTAGTCAGCAGGAAATTATCGCCTTGTTAAAAGAAATCAAACAATTATTACAACCAAAATAATATGACAGAAAAACTAAATGAAACCCAAGAAAGGTTTAGCAATAAAAGAGGCATCCTAATTCGTGAAGATTTAGAGTATTCCGCCCAAAAACTATTTACTTATTCGACCATTGGCTTAGCTGCTATTGTCGGCTTTGCCTCCGTCACTTATCTCATAGTTAAACAATTAAAAAAAGACTAAACAACAGAAATTAAAAAAATATGACAAGACCAAATGAAAATTTAGAAAACCAAAACACCTTAATGTCCTGAGCGACTGGTAAATTAGCCATGTTTGCGATTGGCTTAACGGTCGGCTTTTTTATTTATCAGTCCGGCTTAGTGCAAAAAGTAACCGGCAAACTGTTTAAGAAAAAAGATGAATAATCTTTTTGGATGAAATCCTAAAAAAGATGAATAATTTAGCCTAGTATAGAAAATTATGACTAACTTCAACCCCACTCCGAAATCTTTGCTCATGTGAGCCAATAAAAACCCTAAGTATCCCAATAGTTTTATTATCAAAACCGACAATCAAACCTTATTGGGTCTAATTAGAACTGACAAAAACGGCACCACTTACTGAAAGTTTAAGGAGCGGGTGAAGAAAGAAGTTAAAAATAACCCCGAACCCAACCCGGTAATGGATAATATTCAGAAATTTCAGCAACGGCAAAACCAAGCAAATAACTATGACAACCAATCCGATAACTCAGTCCAAAATAACAGTTCCCAGTAATCTTACCAGCACTGTCCAAGATTTAAGCACTAGTTTAACAGCTATTAAGCCTAATAATTCCGAAACCACTCAGATTATCACTTATACCCTAATTGCCACCGCAATAGTCGGGATATTTGTTTATCACTACATTAAAAATCAAGAGAATTTATAGATTATGGGAATAAAAGAATATTTGTCCGATTTTAAAGGAGCCTTAAATAACTTCTATGACGAACGCTTAAAAGACCTGGTCGAAAACAAAAGCACGGAATATAAGGCTCTCGCGGGAGAATTCATCCAACGGAGTTTAAACTACCAAAAAGCCATGTTAGCGATTGGAGTAGGAATATTTTTACTGTTAGCCATTGCCTATTTCTGGAAAGACTAAAAAAAATAACAACCAAATAAAACAAATATGAAACATTTAAAATACATCGCCTTAGGCATCCTGGTCGGCTATCTCTTGCCTTACATAATTCAACTAACCCAAAAATCAGATAAAGGCAAAACTACTGAATACTAAACAAAACTATGTCCAAAACTAAATGATTAATCTGGTTCTCCATCTGTGCCGTGTTCGGTTTTTATATCCGTCATTGGATAAATACTGGTTCCGGACAATTTCGGAGATTCCAAGAATATTTTTAAAACACTATGTCAACTGTTCCCTTTTTAATTTGCTCGGCTTTGGCCGTGTTCTGCGGTGTCTTAGTGCAGCAAGCCATTGAAACGCTAATTAATACCTCCTTGACTTTATTGCCCTTTAATATCCGCACTGTATCCTAGTTTTTACCTCGTAGGAGACTAATTTAAAAAATTATGCTCAACACTAACTTAAATAACCCTCAATTATTCCAATATCGGCAACAAAATTACACTTGTGATAAATGTGGTCAAGAATTCCAGAAAACCATTACTTATTCTCCTGCCTCAGACAAACAAGAATTAAATAATTCTCCCACTTACTGTCCTAACTGTATCGAACCTAGTTTGCTAACTCCGATTAAAACTCAGCCGCGAAACTCTAAAAGAGTTAAACCCAAAAAAAACACAATTGCTTATTACCAATGTATGTCGGCTTGTTGTCAACAAGGCATTAGTCCCAAAAAGATTACTCAAATCGCCCACGAATGTAAACAGAATAGTTTCGGTATTCTCAGCCAAAGAACTAGTGAAATTCAAAAACTTAATGAGGCTTATCGACAAATTGGAGAAAGTTTAACTAATTTATTACAACCCGTTCAGGAAGAATAAAGATTATGATTACCTGCTGTGAATTAGCCCTTTACACGGTGATGGGGGCTTTTGTAGTGATTTTGGCTTTGTTAGCCATGTTTTTTAATTACACCTTAAAGTTGAAAGATAGACAGATTATCTTAGAAAAAAAGAATGGCAAGGAGCAAAAACAGATCGATGAAATAAAAAAAGATGTCGAGAAGTTAAAAAATGGCTAAGTGTTTACTTTGTCAAAAGAGAAAAACGATGCTAAATTCTCAT